GAATATCCCAGAATAAAAATTAATATGCAATTTTAACAGTAGCGTGGGGTTTGTACTAGGAAGGCGGTTGCTAATTGTGACGGGGAAATCGTTTTTAATATAATACTACAGTATATGTACTATGGTAATACCAGGAAGGTTAGGTACTCTATGGCTTCTTCTTCCTCTCCGCATTCTCTGCGGCAGTCGTCGTTGAAAATGTTCCTTCACGCGAGGTTTACCCCCCTGGCGCAATGCCGTCTCTAATAGAACAGCCTTGAGGCGAGATTTATGACGTCACACTAGTTAGATACTACGGATTAATAAATATGTTGTAGAATACATGGAAAACATAATTATTCCTCAGATTTTTGGTTTGTATTTTAAAAATGATATGGTTTACATAAAATATACATAATATACAGTTAATAACTACAACATATATACCTATTTATAGTAATAAATACTTTGGCAAATAAACTATGAACCATACAAATGCAGCAAATCTTTTACAATGTACAAATAATGTATAGGTACATAAGATAATGGATAAAATGTAAATATATTTTAATTTTTGGGGTTTGAAAATCGATCTAATTTAACAAAAAACATTCAATATCTACTAATAGTAATGTATTATTATTTGCATTCACAAAATTTATATGTATATTTTGCAAGTATCAATGTTCGAAAAATTATATTTACAAATAATAAAATATCATCTAAAAAAAGGCGTCAGCGATGGCTATGAAATGAAGATCGCTGGCATTTTATATGTAAAATTATTCTAAAATTTTTGATTTTCTTGGTTCGGGAAAAACGCCGATTTCAGTTTTCATTCGGGTTTTCATTATTTTTATTTGGTTTAAAAAAACGTTTCGGCTAACTATAGCCTTTATCAGTGTTGTGTCATATGAGAAAAATAGTGTCGAATATAATCCAAAAAATTACATATAAAATATAATTCACACCACATAATGTTTACTGCAATTAATAAACTAATATAAACTTATCAAAAGATGACCACATATTTTTTTAAATTATTATTCTTAACACTAAAACTATCTACATTGACTATGGAGTACACAGTAAACATTATGTGGTGCGTGGTGTGAATATTTTATATGTAATTTTTTGGATTATATTCGACACTACTTTTTTCATATGACACAACACTGATGAAGGCTATAATGTTAGCTGAAACGTTTTTTTTTTAACCAAATAAAAATAATAAAAAACCAAATGAAAACTTAATCAGCGTTTTTCCCGAACCTAAATCCCAAGAAAATCAAAAAATTTAGAATATTTAGAAACAAGGTTCAAGAATATCAAATTTTCCAAGATTGTAAATTTCTAGTTAATTATTTTATGTGTACAATTATTTAGGGAATGTCATCGATGTTCATTTCCAAGCCTACTAAACGCCGATTTTTTTCGATGATATGGTATAATTCTTACGTAAAATGTAAATAACATTAAACCAATTAAAACAGAAATATGAATTTCTTAGTATTTTTAGTAACACCTTTATTCTTAAAACTTAATTTTGTATTATGCAAATATACCAATTTTATTGTTATGTTGTTTATCACTTAAATATTTGATATTAATTTGGTATTATAAATAATCAACACTATTCATTAAAAATTACTGAACAAATATATGTTATGCTTTACATACATTATATTATCAAACAAAAACACATTCTTCTTTTAAACTGTATCATTCTTGTCTTTACAAAAATCTTTTTTAATTTTGAACTCAAAATAATAATCTTTTTCATGATCTTTAATACACATATTCTTTATTTTTCCCTAGATCATAATACCTAGTTACGTGTTTGAATCTATCGAAGCTGAACCAACAACACTTGGAGTGGAGATTCTTTAATACCATCCTGGGAGAATATTATTTTTAAATTTATTAAAGATATTTTCAATAGAATTGTCTTGATTTATAACTCGTACCCACTTTTCTTGCTCTTCCGGACACTTTAGGCTGCCTAGTATAACTATCCTTTCCACCAAGAACACAACAAAGATGAGGCATGGCACCAAAAACACACTCCACTTAAGCTTTATTGTTGAATTGTTAGAGTCTTAAAAACACACACACAAAAATCACGATAAATAAAAAAATTTATGGGCACTTTTAGGTTAAAGCACTTAACAAAACGTGCAATATTTCGTGTTTTTTTATGAGAAACAGAGTGACCATATATCTGGTAGTAGTTTGTGTCACTTAAACACCAAAATAATTAGTTTTTTTCACTACAATAACAAATAATACCAAAAATCAATCGACAAAATATGAATACAGAATCTAACCCAATATCTAAGTATGTACAGCTGATGAAGTAAACAAAAGTCCGCCCGTAGGCTGATCTTTTATAGAAGGCATTGCCTGGCGCAGTGTCCAGTGACAACACTTACAATAATTGTCGCATTGGCGTAACTACCGACAACAATGTGCAGTGGTGTTAGGTCTAAAATGACTGGGGAGATAATATTTAACCTTTTCAAAATTTACATGGATTTCCTATGTCTCGTGTTGCGATACACCACCCGGTATATAAATAGTTTTTTTTATATTGTAGATTTTTTTATTATATTATTTGTTATCTTCTTTATTGCGTTCTATATTTTACAATTATTGTACCTTTTCGTACCTTAATATGTAAATACACTCTTGGTGTTCGTAAACAAGAAATAAATAAATAAAATCAATTTAATTTCCCCCCAAATTTTACATTAAATTCCCTATCGATCGTCGCACCCCACTTTATTTTTCCAATAAATAAATGTAAAATCAACTAACTCACCGACATCCTTTTCCCAAATCTCCCGACGCGGGTGCTGCTTCGGCAATTTGGCAACATCCCCCCGGATATGAGCTGCGTTTATGAACAATTTGCGTTCGGAATTAGATGGAGCGCCCGTGAGGCCCCCGGGGGCGTGCCCCCAGGCAACGGCCGTTAATTCGATTTCTATTACATTTATCATTTCCTTCATTGATTTCGATTTTGATGGAACGGGTCTTGTGGACGGTCTACGTTTTCTGTTCGGACACAAAGTAAGATTAAAGAGAGTTGTTTTTTTTCGATTTCTTATATCATATTATATACAGGGTATCCCAGGCTGAGCGTGCATTAGAAGTTTCTAGAGAACTATATACAATATCTTGATCGGAGATTTTCTACACATCATTATTTCACAAAGAGATCTATCGATTAAAAATATTTTCAATATGGCCTTACTTTCACAAATACCGAAATCAACTTTCGGTATTTGTGAAAGCAACTTTCTTATTTTAAATGTGTGTCCCCACTTTTATTACGCACTTAAATTCTCTGTAAAATTTTATGAATTTTAATGTTAAACACTCTGACCTAACATTAAACGTTTTTGAGAAAAAAAATATTTAAAATTTTTGGACGAAAAAACTGTCTATAAAAATAAATGTATAGCCTAAATTTTAGTGATTACCACAACTACTGTGCCATAAAGAGAAGACATGTGGCTATCTATTTCAAAAATTAAATTGTTCGAATGTCATATAATATAATAGAAACCCACTTTTTTTATTTCATTAGTGAAAAGGCTTTTTAATTTGTTACTTTTTGACTATACATATTCCTATACCTAAAGTAAATCGTTTTTAAGTTACTTAAGATTTAGTTTTAAAGCGTATATTTTTCTTGATTTTAACCAGTAGCCTACGACTTTAAACGTCAAATGACAATATGTCCATGTCATATTGTGACACCATGTTGTGACACTCTGTTCAAAAAGCAGTATGATATCGATCATCACTTTCAAGCCAACTTTGCGCTGTTTTTTTGTTCGATCATACGATATATTATTAATCACATCAACTATTAGACATCACTTAAGAGTAAAAATACGAGATATGTTTTTATATATACACTTTTTAAACTCTTAAGGGCAGGCAGTATTTATAATATATCAAATTAAATTAATTAGTTTTAGAGAAGTTTTAATTAAGAGATTTAGTTTTTTTATTAATTAATTTAATAGATAAGTTATAATAAATACTTATTATAACTTATCTATTTTTATTAGAATTATATATTTTTATAACAATTTTAATAACTACCAACATTTATTCAGAACGTAAAATAAAACAACAAATTATTGATGCTCCTTCCTTAGTCTTCTTATTCAAAGATTGATACCAAACTTTAAATAATAAATAATATTTCACATGTTTGGCTTTACTTTTATTTAATAATTGTATAAATTATACTGTTAAAGCTTATTTTTTACACATCACAATGATACTTGTTATTAGTATTGTTGAATTTGTGTAAAAAATAAGATTTAATAATCAAATTTAATTATTTTACAGTAAAATTCAATAAATACGCTCATTTAAAAAGCCCGCGCTTCGATACATTTAAAACAAGCCCTACTCAATAGATGGCGCCACTTCTGTAGGACCATTTTTCATTATGGCAGAGTCCATTCTTTTTCTAGCTAGGTATATTCTTTGATTGATACTACTTATAAAGTTTAAATATTTGTCATCGTAACGATTTTCATTAAACGAAACAATTATAATAGAAATATTGTCTTTAAAACGTCTTTACTGAAGAAACCAGAAGGTTTAGGTATAGGAATATAATGTATCGTTGAAAAGCAATTTTATTTGTGTTTCGAGTTTTTAAATAATATAAATGGGGTTGAATTTAGAATAACAATGATTTGAGGGATTTTATAACAAACGGAAATAAATACTTTATCTCTCTGTTTGATATCTAGTCGATTGATTTAGACAGATCGAATATATGTCGACTTTCCTAAACCCATAAACCAAATTTCAGTGTTCCGTATGCCGAATTTATAATTTAACCAATGCGTATTCTAGATCATGTTTTTGTCAATTTTACACGTTTTATTTTTATGTCGAACTCTATTAGAGATAGGTATAGCTTTGTATAATAGAAAAACTTTGGAATATGAACGAATATAAACAAATTTATTGAAATAAAAACACTTAAAAACACTTTAATTAACTTATTTATTGAAATATTAGCTAGAATATCACATGACAGGAAACAAGGGGTTTTTAAAGCTGCTCTTGATTTTGTACGCCGTCTTCCACACTTCGAATAAGCAGATTGTTGAGTGAAACCGATAGAATATGGCCAGAGGCATCGATATGTGAGTTATTATAGTCCAACCCCAGTCACCTGTAACATAATTAAAACGTTCAACTAGCTATAAAGGATGATAGAAAAGTTTTGACATGGATAATAAGTAACTCTGTGGATGAATTGCATCAGATTACGGAAGAGTAGAAAAGCGTGCCAATCAGAGCAGACAATAGAAAAAATCTTATTATCTTATTAATCAATATTGCTTTCCAAATGGCGAAAAAATGTTATGTATATTAATATTAAAGAAATATTTGTATCTCTTTACTACATTTATTTTAAGATAATTTTCTGTATAAATATTGAAGTTTTTTGTATTTTTTTTGTATATTAACTTTATACACAAATAAACCTTTGATAAATTTAATTCATAGAAAGTAATTATTGAAAAATGTTGTATATAGGATAATTTATAATATTACATGAGACAATAGATTTTTAAAGAAATTAAAATCACATTCTTCACTTCATAATTCATTGGTACATGATAGGCATTTTCATATCTGTCTTTGCTTACACACAGCATAATTTATAATATTACGTACAGCATATTTCACAATAACCTTGCAATTAGTGAAATAAATTAGTGGTTTCAATTACACTTGGGCAATTCCATGATTACTCACGGGACATTTAGAATAACAACAAAATTTTAAGATAGTGTATTTTGTCCCTCATATGGGCTAGGTCAAGCTTTAGGTTATTATTTTCACAGACAATGATTTGAATTACTGTTAGTGATTAAAACATTAATAAAAATCTATGTTACTCACGGGACATCAAAAAATTAAGTGGAATTAGGAACTCACATGTGCTGAACTTAAAATTAATTTTCTATAGCTGTATTACAAGATACAGATATATTTGAGATATAAACAATTTGTTGATTACTCACGGGACACTACGATTTTAATATAAATTATTTTTATTTAGATTCCAAAAAATTACATATATTTGATAACTAAATAGAATAACATTGAACAATATTTGAGTGCTTGGAATTAAACACCTTTTTAACCTCAATTTGATAATTACTAAAATTCCTAAAATTATGAAAACTTGTTATATTTAGTACTCTTTTAACTAGATTCCATTTTTCATCTAATTTAATTTATCTGCTTCAATTTCATCGGAATTTATTAGGATTATATAAATTTTTTCAATCTTTTGCGCACATTTGTAGAAATCTTCAGCATTCTTTACTTTATACTTTTTTTTATACCTTTTTAGTTCTTTTTAGTAAACTTTTTAGTTTACGATCACATTCACAATGTTTAAAAAACACAATTAAAATTAATAGAATATCCTAGTAACAGCTTGCGTTAGTCAGTTGTATTCATAGAGAATGCTTAATGTTTAGCTTATAAAACAGTGAACTATTGATTTCTAACCACAATTTATATTGACGGAAGATAATCAAAGGTCAAAATGACATTTCTCGCAAATTTTGAAGTATAATTAGTGGAAAAGTCAAAAGTTTAATAACTTTTTCTACTAATTGAAAATGTCTACCACTAATTTTGACGTTTTGAACGCTTACATTGAAATTATAGGATAAAACTTCTACGCTAAATTAAACCACTAATTTATTCCACTAATTGCTCTCAATTATCGTAGATTTGTTCCTCTAATTAGAATGTAAGCATTCAGAACGTCAAAATTAGTGGTAGGAATTTTCAATTAGTGGAAAAAGTTAACAAACTTTCAACTTTTCCACTAATTATACTTCAAAATTTGCGAGGAATGTCATTTTGGCCTTTGATTATCATCTGTCAGGAGAAAAATGTGGTTAGAAATCAAAAGTTTATTGTTTTATAAGCCCAATAATAGGCTTTCTCTATGGATACAACTGATACCGCAAGCTGTTGCTAGGATAGTCTATTAATTTTAATTGTGTTTTTTGTGAATGATCATCTCTAAAAATAGCAAAACAACTTTAAACTAGTAAGTAATTATACAGGGTGGTCCCACATTATATTCGGGAATCTTCGGTAGCATATTCTGCAGATAAAAATAAATAAAAAAGTTCCTATAAATGTATGTTCTAGAATGCTTAGTTTGGGAAATACAAGGCGTAGAAGTTTCATTTTTATTTCGATTTTTTCCAAATAATTTCTGAATTATAGTCTATATTTGGAAAAAATAACGTGTCTGGATGTTTTTTTGATATGAGAAATTTGATTTCGATGTCAATATTACTTATACTTATAGGGGGCGCCACATACATCTGTTTTAACTGTTTTGGAGAGTAGTAATTTTTCCGTTCGTACCTGTATAAAACTGCTGAGTGAAAAAATATACGTTTTCGTCATTTTTTACGTAAAAAATGTCTCTTATTATTCAATTATCGATACATGTCATTATTGACAAAACGAGTAAAAAATGTATAGGTGGCGCCTTCTATAAGTAGGAGTTATACAGACACTAATTTTCATCCAAATATAGACTGGGTCAGAAATTATTTGGAAAAATTGAAATAAAAATGAAACTCTCTATATCGCTGCCGCTGCCACTGTTTAAACCTTATGTAGTTGAAATACACAATTTGCAAGCAATTTTAATGTTAATTATATTAGAGTACTAGAAGCTCGTATTTTATTTAGAGAATTATATTATTTTATGTTTAGTAGTGTGCCGTAAACTACCAGCACTAATTTAACATTATATACCAAACCGAGATAATATATTTCCCTAATTTGAAATTACTCCATAACGTAATTTCGCCAAATTATATTATCTTACCGAAAAATTTCAGATGAGTTGGTCGAAACTCCGCTCTATTTTTCTCTAAACTGTTTATAGTCCACATGGCCATGTTTGCTATAATTAAGAACGTAATCAACTCTCTGCCAGGTTTCGTCCTGGCTTGTTTTAGGTTCTTGCACCGTCTCCACCAAGCATCCAATACAAACATCGTCTAAAAAAGGAAAATTGTTGTTTAGCATCTAATTACTGTATAGTATGTCCCATTTTCGTATGTTTTACAAGGTTTATGAGTAGAGATACAAAGATGATGTTTTCACATATAGTTCATATCAAATAAATTTTTAGTCACGTGATTAAGGTTGACTGGCACAGCGTTGTCCACTTTTACATATTTTCTTTTAATCGTACATTTTAGGAAACCAAAATAAATTAATTATAAATATACAAACAGTTATTATTAACATCAACAAAACTCACCTCCTTAATAGCACTTAAGGGACATAAAGAGCCATTACTACCGATTTCCCGTTCAAAATATTTTAATAAAGTTGCGATGAGTTGCGAATAAAGTTACACTTGTGTACACTTCGCACTAAAAGAGGTTGTAAAGAGAACAATGTTCAACTGCAAGGTCCCAGCGGAAAATTTAAATTTCAGTTAGTCGGTCCGGCTACGAATATGACCATGGTTGGAAACAATGAATTTAAAAATAGCGCCTTGATTACGTAACTAAAAGTTTAATTGGTATCAAATATATCTGTTCTAGTCCTATTAGTTCCTGATATACAGGGCGGATTTGAAATTGTCGCATTTTTATCTCTCTTCGTAGGTGCCTCGGTTTCTCGGGTATCTTATAACTTATCGAAAAGGTAAAAGCTGATCACCATAGAGTTTTCCAGATGGAATTCACTAGTTTTCTACTTCCGCTAGTAGCTGTCATTCTTGAAATATGACCCAAAATTATGTTTTTTTTTAAATCATTTTGTATATATATTCGCGGTATTTTAATATGCATGGCTTTTTCAACAGTAAATGTTTATCAAAGCTACCTAATGATTATTGTCTGGTATTTTAATGAGGGCGAACTTTTTGAGCTTGGTGTATCAAAATTTAAAAAAATCGAAACATAATTTTCTCATGGCAAAAAACCCATCACAAAAGTAAAGACTAAAAAATAAAAATATAACTGACAAAAATAAATTTTGAATTTTTGTCAGTTATTTATATTATTAATATATTAAAATAATTATAATTTTATATTATATTATACAGGGTAAGTTCTAAATAAGTGCAAATATTTTCAGGGTTGATAGATCTCGATAAAAGAAAATATTTTCTGTCTACCTGTCTGTTTTCAAATAAGTCCAAAATAACCGAGTTATTTTACTTTGAAAATTTACAAAAAAAAATTGTTTTTGGTTAAATTTTGAGAACCACTGGGTCTTTTCTGGGTTTTCTTTTTTGCAAATATAGTCTACTACGTATGTTGCCATATTATCAAGAAATTAGTCTCCGTTGGATTAACGCAGCAGTGTTTACAAAAAATAACTATTTTATTTTGTAGATTTACTTCCAGTGGCGAAATACCCATAGGATTTTTTTAGATACTCTGTATTTTATTTATAAATTCAAAGAAAATAATGATAAATTTGAATAAATAATATTTGACTAGATATTTGGCGACATAATTCCAGAAAAAACCGAACCGCTCCAAAATTATCAAAAGCTTCGGCTCGCGACCGTTGCAAGAATAGCGCCAAATAGTATTTACATTGACCTTATGGTCACTTTCCAATCAAAACTTGTTTCATTTGTCTATGCATTAAACTATTGTCAAATAAATACCTGCAAACATGTCTGTATGAACGAAAATGTATCGGCAACCATGGCAACCGGCGATCTTCCATTAATGGTGAAATACCAGCCTATGATCGAAAACATGGAATATATAAACATCCCCGTTTGCGAAACAGCTAAAAGTGTGTTATCTAAACCTAAGCCTCCATGTCCTAAAAAAACATTTTTGTTGCACAAAATTATCAAACAGCCCATTAGACGTTTTTTTCGGTCGTAACTCCAGCCTCACCAATTTTCCTTTCGTATTTTAGGTTTCGTAATTGAAACATGGCGACGATTACGGAGATCGTAGTGGTTACGTATAAAAACAATTCGACGAAATTTACTTCCATTTCTGCGTAGTGGTTTCTGACACCGGACTCGTCCAAATCTCCCGTTAACACAAAGAACATAACTAGGGATATAATGGTCAAAACTATCACGGTTATGCCTAAAAAAAAGTATAGAGTATACAGGGCATTCCAGGCTAAGCGTGCATTAGAAGTTTTTAGAGAACTACAATATCTAGATCGGAGATTTTTTGCGCATCACTGTTTCACAACGAAATCTATCGATTATAAATATTTTCAATATGGCGGCACTTCTGGAAGTTGACAACAAAACTCCCCTACCCCCATTTTTTATTACATACTTAAATTCCCTCTAAAATTTTATGAATTTTGATATCAAACACTCTATACCTAACATTAACCGTTTTTTTGAGAAAAAAAATTAAAATTTTTGAAGCAAAAAAACTGCCTGTCAAAAAAATGTTTATAGCCTAAACGACAAATTCTTCTTCTTCTTCTTTTTTTATGATGGCTCTGCTACAAGGCAACCGCCAGCACAATTTGGGAGTGACCAAGATGTTGACTGGCTCTAAACCATATCAAGGCCACTGATTCTTATCTGAGTAAAATGTATAATGGGTAAATTTTAATATAACTAACTTCTATGAAGGTAACCTGTGACCGGTTTTGTTTGTCAATCAATGTCATTTATGTAATAGAAATCAAGCCAATATTGGAAGTTCGATTGAAATTATGATTTAATTTCTAAAATTTGTATTAATATTTTGTATTTACATCAAAACGCAATGGAGGTAGGCAGTAAAGGTAAATAAATTTCATTAAATAAATAGATTTACTTTTTAGGGCCATTTAAACTTATCATCATGCAGCCATTGTTGCTTAAAGTCAGGAACATTTAAAAAAACATGAAAAACAAGACAACAAGTAGTAATCGTGAATGTTTTGTAAGCTATAAAAATATAACTATTGATTAGATTTGTGCAAATCTTCACTTGAGCTGTATAACGAGTTTAACAGTTTATTAATAAAGTACTTTTCAATATTAAACTCCACTGAAAAGAAGAAGCAAACGTAAAAGCAGAGAATAGGTACATTAAAAATGCATAAAAGATAAATTTTATAATAGAGGTATTGAAATTTAGAAAACGTCAACATTTGATGTTCCGTATCAAACCGATGTTTCTCAGGAACCGCTCTTTACCGTAGTTTACCAGTCTGGTTCGCCTGGTTTTGCAACAGAATACAGCCATGATACAAAGAATACAAGGTATGATATTGCGCAAGTTAGTCACGACGTCGCAGGTGATAAACGGCACTATTGGTCGGCAAGCCCTGCGCGCCAATTTCAAATTGTCAAACAGATTGTATCATCTGTGAAATTTGATTGTGTCAAAATGTGAAAATAATTTTTCAAATGTCAAGCTCGATGTCAAAACATAACTTTTGGGGTTATGTCCTAATTCTTCCCTATCTTAGGTCTTTTTTTATTAGTGGCAATTGAACAATATGGATATTTTTTTGTAAAGCGCATGACGTCACAGGTGGTATCCGTAAACTTAACGAAATAGGAGCCGTTATCGATCATACCTTGTTTTCTTTGTACCATGGAATACAGCCTTAGTGATTACCACAGCCACTGTGACATAAAGAAATGGCATGTGGCTGTCTATTTCAAAAATTAAATTGTTCGAATGTCATATAATATTGGTCGTAGCACAGAATATCTAGCTACGCTACAGAAAAATACTGAAATGAAAGAGCTAAAATTGCACAAATAGAATACTAGATGGCGCGACAATGTCATAATCAGAATATAATTAGAAATTTTGAACTTTCGGTTTTGGATCGACGGCTCGTCGACGGCCTTATAGCTCGGCTAAATATGCACTGTTGCCAGATTCAAAAAGACTTGAAATGGCATCCCATTCTTTTTATTATGTATAATGCAGTATGCGTTTCTTTCTATTCATCTTTTCTTGTCAGATACACTTATATTAATTATTCCTTTGGCTATTAAAATAGTTTTAAGTATATTATTACAAAACATATACATTTTTTATATACACTACCTTATAATGTTAACTAAGAAAATACCTTTAATTACCTTTAAAATTAATAATAGACAGGGCGATTGATAGTGATATTTATTAATGCTGGAACGTTAGTAATGAAATATAAGTTTAATAATAATGGAAATAATTTATTAAAATGCAGTACAAAAAATGTTAACTGACTAAAAAATACTATAATAACAAATTTCTTCCGTTTGCCACGTTATTTATATAGACCTAGGTAGATTTTAAAAGTGACACAGGTACAATTAATAATATATTAGTTCGGCATAAAAGTTGCTGTCACGACATCGAACAATAAATTAAAATAAATTAAAATTCGTAAAATAAATTAAAATTATTAATTAAACAAATCTTTATAAAGAAACGCAAGTATACCAAATTTGGGCCCAATCGAACTCCAGGAAATAATATCATAATAGTGTACTATATTATGGTACCACTCGATATGCTTTAAGGTACCATAATATTGCAATGTCACCGAAGATCCGTAGTATACCAAATTTAAGAACAATCGAACGCCATGACATGGTATCGTAATATGGTACTATATTAAGGTACCACTTTATATACATCACAGTTCAATCATATTACAATGTAACCGAAGATATGTAGTATACCAAGTTTGAGCCCAATCGAACGCCAGGAAATGGTATCGTAATATGGTACTATATTAAGGTACCACTTTATATGCATCATAGTACCATCATATTACAATGTTATCGAAAATACGTAGTATCCCAAGTTTAAGCCCAATCGAACGCCATGTACGTAATATAGTACTATATTATGGTACCAGTTGATATGCTTCATGGTACCATAATAATGCAATGTCATCAAAAATACGCAAGTATATATCAAATATGCGCTCAATCGAACGCCAAGGAAATGGTATTGAAATATGGTACTATATTAAGGTACCACTTTATATGCATCATGGTACCATAATATTACAATATCACCGAAGATACGTAGTATCCCAAATTTAAGCCCAATCGAACGCCATGTACATAATATGGTACTATATTATGGTACCAGATGATATGCATCATAGTATCATCATATTATAATGTCACCGAAAATACGTAGTATACCAAGTTTAAGCCCTATTGCCGCCATGTACTTAATATTGCTATGTCATCAAATATGGTACTATAGAAGGTACCACTTTATATGCTTCATGGTACCATGATATTACAATGTCACTGAAGATATAGTATACCAAGTTTAAGCCCAATCGAACACCATGTATCGTAATATAGTACTATATTATGGTATCACTTGATATGCTTCTGAAAAAAACGGCGTCCAGTTGGCTGGAAAAGGACGATCGATGACATTTCCCATATAAATTTACATATAAAATGACAGCGATATTCATTTCATAGCTATCGCTAACGCCGTTTTTTCCCGATTATACGATATGAACTTGTCAGGAATGAGGATGATAGTAGAACAATACTTATTATATTGTCGCCGAATTACAATGAAAATTCAGGGTTCAATTATACAATCAAACGTCAGGAAGTGATTGTAATTTAGCTCATAAGATTTAATTCCAACTAACATGGCAAACTGAAAAAAACAGCTCTGATCTATTTTAATATGTTTAAATGATGTAGCAAATTTGAAGGTAGGCTTTATCAGGAAGTATTACGATATGAATTACACAATGGCAACACTGCACAAAATTCTTTTAAATTTTGTTTGTAGAAAACTGTTTTCTTTTAAATTTATTGCCCTCTATTATGTAGTAGCGAAACTACCACATCAAAATATCTGATTTGGAGACAGGCTTTTAAAGCCTGTCTCCTTTTGCTACCTACAGTTTTATACATGTAAAGAGGCTTCTGTTGCGTAGCTAGGTATTCTGTGGTCGTAGCTGTCATGGAACTGAGCTGTTAAAAATTTTCCATAAATAATTTTTTTTTTCAAATGGAAATCCCCTTTTTATTTCATTAGTAAAAATGTTTTTTAATTCGTTACTTTTTGATTATACATGTTCCATGTTCCTATACCTAAAATAAATCATTTTTAAGTTATTTAAGATTTAGTTTCAAAGGGTATATTTTTCTGTTTTTTAACCAGTAGCTTATGAACTTTAAACGTCACGCAATGTAAAACTATATCTGGCCATATCATATTGCCATTAACTATCACTAAAATACCAGATATATTTTTATAAATACACTTTATAAAGCTGCTGGTAAAAGCAGTATTCATAATATACGAAATTCAAATAATTAGTTTTTTGACAGGAAGAAATAAATTTTCTGATGGTTTACCACTTAATGTCAAAGGAAGTTAGATAAAATCAAGAAAAAATTACGCTTTAAAACTGAATCTTAAATAACTTAAAAACAATTTATTTTAGGTATAGGAACATGTATAATCAAAAAGTAATAAATTGAAAATCCTTTTCACTAATGAAATAAAAAAAATTGTGTTTCCATTTAAAAAAAGATTTATGATAATTTTTTAATCGCTCAATTAAATGACAGCTACGGCTAATATTATGACATTCGACCAATTTAATTTTTGAAATAGATAACCACATGTCTTCTCTTTATGCCACAGTGGCTGTGGTGAGGCCTGTTCCAAACACCGGAACACCGTTTTAACACCGGTATGGGGCTGACACAGTTGGCCAAATATAGGCTATCCGGTGTTCCGGTGTCGACACCAACACCGGTGTTGATACCGACACCGGTATTGACGCCGACACCGGTGTTGACGCCGACACCGGTGTTTATCTGCAACACCAGTATTCATCTCGACACCGGTGTTGGTCTGGACACCGGTGTTCATTTCGATACCGGTTTTGACTACGACACCGTTTTTGATATCGACACCGGTATTTGGTAAACGGGTTAAAGAAGAGAAATAATGTTAATTAATAAGTTCAAAATAAACCTGATAATAATAATGTTGTATCGGTGCTTATTTTTATCGTTTATTAAAGCGCCCCGACTTTGACTTAAAGCTTTCAAATTTAAATATAATTTTTTTGGCCGACTAATCACTAAAATAAAGTGGAAACGTCAGATAAACAACTATAAAGTAAAAAATTGTTTAATCAAAAACAAATAGAAAACAAAACAAAACATAGAGAAACATAACAAACAAAAAATAAAGAAAACATAAAGAAGTGTTGAGAGAAACACTGTGTTGAAATAAACACCGGTGTCAAGATAAACACCGGTGTTGTAGATGAACACCGGTGTCGAGATAAACACCGGTGCTGAAATGAACACCGGTGTCGGTTTTGACACTGGTACACCGACTAGAATACCGGTAGTCATGAACACCTAACACCGGTGTTCAAATCTCAACATCGAACAGGTCTAGCTGTGGTAATCACTAAATTTATCGTTTAGGCTATACAGGTTTTTTTGACAGGCAGTTTTTTTCCTCCAAAAATTTTAAATATTTTTTTTTCAAAAACGGTTAATGTTAGGTATAGAGTGTTTGATATCAAAATTCATAAAATTTTAGAGAAAATTTAAGTATATAATAAAAAATGGAGGTACCCATTTAAAATAAGAAAGTTGTTTTTTCCGGTATTTCCGGAAGTGCCACCATATTAAAAATATTTTTAATCTATCTATAGATCTCGTTGTGAAACAGTAATGTGCAAAAAATATCCTATCTAGATATTGTAGTTCTCTAGAAAGTTCTAATGCACGCTCAGCCTGGTACACCCTGTATAGAGCAATTCACGGCGATAGTATGTTAAACGTTTATGGAAAATCGATGATAGTTTTTTTTTGAAAATTTGGATTTTTACATAAAGGAACATGCTTCATGTTTCTAAAATATTTTCCGCCTTACAGTGTTGCCGCATCATTCGAAAAGTGGTAGCATCTCCTTGTTTGATATCTAATCAGTTGATTTAGACAGATCGAATATGTCGACTTTCCTTAACCAATAAACCAAATTTTAGCTTTCAATATGCCGAATTTATGAAATAACCATGCTTATTCAAGATTATGTTTTTGTAAATTTTACACATGTTTTATTTTTATCTCGAAAACTATTAGAGATTGGTATAGGTTAGTATAACAGAAAATTTTTGAGATATGGAGGTAGTTTCAAAAAATATAATAAAATACCGGGTGTTCCATTTAAAATGAAAAAGATGCTATAACTTTTCGTACGAAGCAGCAGCACTGTAACACTGGAAATAATAAGACAGATGGAGCAGGTACCTTTATGGAAAAAATACAAATTTTCAAAAAAATTGGTTCTCCGGTTCTCCATAAACGTCTAACGTTTTCATTATTTTACCTGCAAAGAGTCCTCTATGCGAATTGGTACAGTCGATTGTAAAATGATATCCAGAATTTCCTCCCTCAAATGGGTCTAAAAATAAAAAAATAGATACTTTTTCTTATTCAAGATGTTTATGAAACAAACACAGAAAATTTAATAGGTGGCTCAATAAAGCGTTATTCGTCAACATATTCTGCAGGTAAAAATAATTAAAGAAGTTCGTAGGGGTACGTGTTCTAAAATAACGTCATTTCAGAAATACAGGGTGTAGAAGATCTTGAATTGTCAAAAAATTGGCTCCCCTGTTGATTTTACAGCGAAGTTGTTTATTAGACTGAGTATGGTGAATACACATATCTAACATACAGGGTTAGTTTTCTACGATGTTCTCTACGGGTATCTCGGAAACTACTTGATATAGAGTGTCGATTAAAGGGGGAAAGAATTGCAGTTCTGTAGGGTCATAAATATGCGCCTTTCAGATTTTGAAAAATTTCATAGCTTATATTTCGAAAAAAAACAAATTTCAGCTATTTAAAAATTGTCCCGAATTCCATTATTATCTATTTTAGACAAAAAGTTTTCAGATAAAAGTTGTAGATAATCACATCCTTAATGAAATTGTGTTCTCCGTTTGTTTTTAAAGTCTATAATTTTTGACATATAACAACACATGTTTTTTTATGGAAACTATAGTTGGCCATGACTTCATAAAAGGCGCCATTTTTAAGCTTTTTAACGATATAAACTATAATATGTGTTTTATTAATTTTGAAACAATTTCACTTAGTTAGGCATGGAAACAAGTTCAATCGCTGTTGCTCTCAGAAATGTGAAGCTGTCACATCCAAACTGGTAAATTAAAATAAACAAAAATTGTAAATATGAATTTTTCAAATGAATAAAAGCGTGTAGACACTCGCGCATCAATAGAATGGTTTCAACATGACTTTCATTATGACACCCCCATAATGAAAGAAATGTTAAAAATTATTTATATCATAATTATGCAAACTCAGGGATAGAAAGAGGTGGTCCTAGATCCTGACCTAGATCACCTGACCTATCCATTTTAGATTAATTTATGTGGTATGGTTAAAAATAAGGTTGACAAAAATACTTATGAATTAACAGAGGCACTTGAAGTGGCGGTACGAGAGAAGTTTAATTAAGTCGACCGGTCCTTCTGTGAGAATAGGTAGTAATTCAGTTTTAAAAAGATGCAAGTCAAAAGAACGGCGGATTTTTTTAACATTTTCTAAAATAACTTAAAGTGTATGTAGTGATATTATTGTTTTAAGTTTTAGGTTGTGTAATGTAAATTGTAAAGAACCGTTTAATAATATATTCTGACTTTTTATATAATATAAGTTATAAATCGAAACAGAATAAAAATGTCATGCAATCTAAGTGAAATTGGTCAAGAAAGATAAGAATTGGCTATAACTAAATTTAACTTTTCTAACATGTCTTGTCGTTCTCTAAAAAACGCAACATTCACCGGTCAACGTATCCTCGAAAATGTATGGTCAAGACAAAGTCAAGAAAAGTTGAACCAATAATCTAACCTATAACCAATAACCTAACCTAACCTAACCTACACGCTTTTCTTCATTTGAAAAATTCATATTTACAATTTTAGTTTATTCTAATTTACAAAGTTTGGATGTGACAGTTTGACATTTCTGTAAGCATCGACGATTGAACTTGTTTCCATGGCTAACTAAGTAAAATTCTATAAAAATAATATAAATACTCCCAATCTCTAGTAGTGTCCGAGATACCCATAGAGAACATCGTAGAAAACTCAACCTGTATATTAGATAAGTTAATATAAATAAAACTCCACAATTTTTAGCACAGATTGCAAATACGAACGAAAATATAAATATATGTAATGTAATTTTAATTAAAGCTAAAATGTGTTTTCCACGTTTGTCTCCAAATATTTATTTTAGTTAAAAATATTAAATTATGTTATTTCCCCTTTCTGAAGCAGAACAAACAACAAAAATAATCAACAAAATATGTCCAGTGTCCACTACTACGAGTAAAAAACTAATGATAAAGAGGGAAATAATAAAGAACAGTCGTAATTTTTATTCATGAGAGACTTAAATTTTCCGAGATATTTGGGATTTTTTTACTATTTTTTCGCAAAAAAACTGAGCATGACAATAAAAATAAAATAAATGTACCCAAAATGTACGAAGCAGATAAAAAACATAAAATATAACATTTTTTACCTATCTCTTCAAGTTTTCGCAGAGCATGTATTTTCTTGTAATTTAAACCTCATTATTTATCAATTTTCAAAGAGTACAGATACTAATATTGTTCATATAGTTCGCTTATTTTTTTTAAATAAAAACTATTTAAATATTTGTAAAAGAGGATCAATTAATATGATCCCAGTATTCGAACTACATTTGCCTTGGTTAATAAATAATTGCTCCAAATACTAAAAAAACTGAATTTTGTATGTGTATTAGACAATGTGGTTAAAAGTAACAGCTTCTAAATTTTATGTCATTTTTTGACGAATGCTTATTTATAACAACAGGGACGTTCTCATCTATAATTTATTAATTCTGATTGAAATCCACATTTATTTAGAATAATTTATTAACATTTTTATTTTTTAACAGAATTAAGTATGTAATTAATTAATATTTGGGCGGAAATAATGGTGGTATATTTAAGTAATCTTATACTCTTTATTCTTTTGAAATGATTTAAATAGTTTTCTTTTTGTGAACAAATGGGCTAGCAATATTATTAATATAGGGTTTTCCAAATGGAACTAAAACATGATTACTATTAGCTTTAAAAGACAACTATGATTTAAAAAAAAAATAAAAATTAATTTCTAGACACTCTGTATAAGTTGGTATTATTTTTATTATTGCAATTTAAAAAATAGAAAAGCAAAATAAAAAATAGAAATTAAAAAAAATATTTAACGCCCTATTTCCCCCCTCTAATTTTTTTATTTTTCTGATAAAAAATATAGATTTGGTATGTTAATATATGACATAAATTAGGATTGATTGACGTATTCAATTGTTTTTGTCACTTCCTTTTCACCGGAAATTACTACAACTTTTGATTTTTAAGTGACACCCTGGGTATTTTTTTACTTTATTCGATAGAAAAAGACACTCTGAATAGAATATATCATATGTCAACTTTTGACATTTTCGCATATATGGTTTATTTGAAATTTTAACATGCGGTTCATAACAACTATTTAACTCGAAATACCAAGTGTGTGGTATCAAATTGTTCGTAAAAAATGCTTTTTTCAAATATGCTAATGAGCCACCCTCGTTCCATTTGAAAAAATTGAGATTTGATTAGAAATAAATGATTTGTGCATCTTTTAACCGACCAGGACAAGAAACTAAAAACATTAGACAATCAAATCTATTTTTCCAGGGCTCCTTGATTAAAAATTACTCTAGATTGAAATTTAAAATACAATTTGTTCTTGAATATGTCAAAAGATGACATATGATATGTCATTCGATTCAGAGTGTCATTTTCTATAATTCTTTTTGAACAAAGTAAAAAAATACCGAGGGTTCCATTTAAAAATCAAAAATTTTAATCATTTCTTGTGAAACAGGAGGTGACCGAAAACAATTAAATATGTCAATAAATCCTAATTTATATCATATACTAACATACCAAATTCCGTTTTTTTTATCTGAAAAAATAAAAAAGTAATAGGGGGTGAGCCACTTTTGAGACGCAACCGGTATGTTGAATCAAAACAAATCAACATGTATGTCTATTAATCTATCACAAATAAAGAAAAAGCATAATTTAGCAATCTCATGATTTTTTATATTAATTTTGTTACTTTGCTAATCTAATGTTTTTTTTTACTTTATGTATAATACGAAAACATTATTAAATAATATAAATAAATACATTTTTATAATAATCACAAGTTTAAAATACATACCCACGCGATTCTTATGCTTCTTCGGTTCAGAATGTTTCTCTTCATCTTCTTTTTCCATGTGTTTCCACATTTCAAAAAGAATGACAGCGCATATCAAACTAGAAAAAAACAAACAATTAGACTGATTTGTAATAAAATAAAAAAAAATTATTTTTCCCACCTATATTCAATGGTGCAAGGAAACAGAAATGGACTTGCGTTGTTCACCAAGGATCCCATAACATATCCTCCCGTACAATATTTGGAACCAAATGTAGAAGAATTTCCAGATTCAGAATGCTCTGGAAAAAATCAAATATAACATTCCTCTGAGAAAAAAAAAATTTCATGATTTTTTTAGCAAACTGTATATAAATTTCTCAAGTATAATTCAAATAAAATTTAATAATTGCCTTATTATACAGGGTTAATTGAAGGGTTACTTTTTACCCTAATTTTGAAACACCCCGTGCAATAATTTGGTGACTAACTTTTCCTATAACATTATTTTTCGATCATAACCATGTCTCCTGAGCATTTTGTTTTTTGACTCATGTCAGTACATGCCTTGGTTAATTTTCAAAAACGAAATGAACTTGCCACCAACAATTTGGAATTTTTTCAACAATTATTACTTTATGATATTATTTTCAATATCATGAGGTGGCTTTGGTGACTATTATCGTAATATCATATCGATACTGATTAGAACTCTGTATTAAAAATTTAAAAAACGTTAAAATGTAACGATACAGGATTGGGTTTTAATAAATATTACTACCGCTAACAAATCTAAGGATATTAAAAAAAAAATAACTAGGTGTACAAACAAAAAAAATACAACAATTACTTTACTTTGTATTGCCTCCACCTAACTGAACCTAACCTATCTGTTAATGAGGCTGCAAATATATTGTGTTGTGTATCCATTCTTCTTCAAGGATCTTCAACAAGATCAATAACTTGTGCACAATATTCGACACTAAGAACCATATTCAATCGTACACAACAATAATCACCAAAGCCACCTCGTCATTAAGAACAATAATATCAAAAATCAAAAAGTAACGATAATTGAAAAAATTGCAAAATATTTGTGGCAACTTCATTTTGCTCTGAACAATTAACCAAGACAAGTGTTTACATGAGTCAAAAAACAAAACTTTCAGGAGACATGATCAATATGCCGAATTTATGATTTAACCAATGCTTATTCTAGATCAAGTTTTTATCAATTTTACGCATGTTTTATTTTTTATCTCGAAAATTATTACAAATTGGTATAGGTTAGTATAGTTTTGAGATATGAAAGTAGTTTCTCGAAAAATATAATGATATACCGGGCGTTCCATTTAAAATAACAAAAATGCTACCACTTTTAGTATGAAGCGGTAACACTGTATGCTGAAAATAATTTGACAGATGAAGGAGATGCCTTTATGTAAAAATTCAAATGTTCAAAACAGTCTTATCACCGGTTCTCCCTAAACGTCTAACGTGTCATAGCTGTGAAAATAACTCTATATAGGGTAGTGACAATTTCAATGCTCAACATTGGCATCTCAGAAACTACGAGAGATACGAATTCGGTTAAATGGGACAAAAGTTGTGTAATTAGATGTTTGACAATTACCTATGAGGGAAACCCCGGTATCTTGATTAGTTTCGGATTTATGTCAAAAAAAATGAAAAGAATGCGTTTGTTTTAAATGACAATATCTTTAGAACTATTGTGTCTATTGCAACTTAAGTTGGTAGGATTATATTTTTGACCTCCGCCAATTAAATGCCCTTTTCAAAAAATTTCTAAGCCTTCTAGATTTCGCAGAACAACAAGTCAAGTTTTTGTTTTCTTATGGCTGCCATTTTTAATTTTTATACTATTAGCTAGAGCACAAAAAATAATCTACACCGTGGTATCTAATTTTTATGCCGTTTTCTGTACATTAACTAAAAAAATAGATTTTTTAGAAATTCGCTTAGAAGATCAAGTTAGAAATCCAATTGACACTTTACATTTTTTTGTTTACTCTATTAAGTGTCAAGTCTGGACACAAAAATTTATAGTAGATAGTGTAAAGTGTATTAACAGTGAACAATATGTTCACAAGTGGGGAAACACGAGATATGTATGTATGATCGTTGTATATGAATTTTTAAAGTAGCTCAACCTAAGACGTTTATGGATGTAAAGCACCAGATGGCGGGGCGTATTTCACAGTCTTTTACTACAGAAAAATATTTTTTGTTAATCTGAATTTTGAAGCGACCAATAAAAACAGAGAAAATAAAAATCGATAATTTTCGGAGTGTGCCAATTGGTTACTAATCGACCAGATATTTTTTATCTATTAGATATGCTATAAAAGCTGGTAATTATACAATTCGACCATTGTAAATACCCGACAAATTTCGCAAGGCCGACGAGGCCGATGCTTTTCACTGATAAGAAAAAAAAAATGTTTGTTTAGATAATTTTCGAGATATTTTTTCTTTCTGAATGCACATTTTTAAAGCATTTTATATTCTTTGTCCGCTTGATCTATTATACTGGTTGCACGTATCGAGGTTCCGTTTCTTCTAGTTTTAAAAAATGTTCTTATTTCTTTGTAGTTGTAGTGGTTGTAGTGTAAAATTAGATTAATTTTATTAAGTTTAATTATAATGTTTAGTGTAGAATACCAGAAATAGTTTAGTAGTGTTTTTATAGTTTATTATTTTGCAGTTAAGTAGTAGGTGAGGGGATAATTTGGTTATTTTTTCTTTTTGTTTGATTAATTAGGAAGTTTGATAATTTTTTCAGTGTAGAAGTGGTTGAAGTAGTGAAGAAGTAGTTGTGTAGTGTTTTTATAAGAGATTATATTCGTTTATTTTGTAGATGAGTAGTAGGTGAAGGTATTTGGGTATTTTTTCTTTTTGTTTTTCTTCTGATTGTAGTAATTCTATTAAGTATTGTGATATATACACTATATCTTCCTTCAACTTCGTTGAAAAGTGCGTTATCATATAATTTTGGTTTTCTGGTAGTAGAATATACGAAAAAAAAATCTGATCAAATTTATTTTAAATTAAATTAATCGAGTTTTATTAATCAAATTAATCTAGTCAAATAATAATACTAGTTAGTTTCTAAATACTATACAGGGTGAGTTTCCTACGATGTTCTCTATGGGTATATCGGAAACTACTGGAGATAGAGAGTCGGTTAAATGGGGAAAAATTGCAGTTTTTTGGGGTCACAAATATGCGCCTTTCGGATTTTTCGGAGAAATTCAAGGCTTACTAGATATTTCGAAAAAAGCAAATTTTGGCTATTTTAAAACTTTGTCTCTAATTTCATTATAATCTACCGTATAATCGAATAAAAACGGCGTCAACGATGACTATGAAATGAAGATCGCTGTCATTTTATATCTATGTAAAATTATATGGGAAATATGATCGATCGTCATTTCATAGCCATCGCTGAAGCCGTTTTTATTCGAACATACGGTATTTTAGACAAAAAGTTTTCAGATAAAAGTTTTAGATAATCACATACCTAATGAGTTTGTGTTTTCTGTTTTTTTTTCTAAAGCCTATCATTTTTGACATATGACACAAACATTATGTTTTTTTTTAAATGGAAACCATAGTTGGCCATGACTTCATAAAAAGACCATTTTTTAAGCTTTTCAGCGATATAGGTATAATATGTTTTTTTCGAAAAATTACAAATTATAGCCAATTCTTTTCTTTCTTGGCTAATTTCCATACCAATTAGTTGGCATGAAAAATGTAAAAAGTTTCATGTTTTCAAAAAAAATTTCATAAAATTCGTAAAGCACTCAATTTACAATAAATAATCTAAGAATGAAATGATTCTTTTATAAACCTGCATTAAATTAAATTAAAATAGGTATGTAACTTTTTTTTAAATATTAATTAACAGCAATTAGCATTATCATAAATTATAAATAATGTACCAACATATCGAAATAATAATTTCTTTGTTAATAATTTACAATAAAATAAAAGTTTCGTTTAAATTTCTTAATCAGCTGATCACTATTAAAGTTCGCAGAAACCCTGGGCTATATTATTACATTACTCTGAGGAAAATAACGAAAATAATCGATATTTTTGACTCCGCCCCGAAAGGTTCACGATTTGTCCTCCAGTTGGCAGCACAATTTCTAGTCTAGTCGGTTGGGCAACTTTAACAATATATAAACAAGGGTATGATGTTTACTTAAAAATAATAGAAATTCTACTTTAAATGTAAGTGTTTTAATAGAAATTCTACTTTAATCTTAAATGTTCTAAATTCTATAATAGAAATTAACTTTAAATTTAAATTTGTACAAAATTTACAGTTTTTTTACATGCTGGTGATCACGAGAGAAGATGCTTTTGCAAATGGTTTCGGCAAAGTGTTCAAGAGAATCCCCTTTTTTTCTACAAAAATATTATGGACGGATGAATCTTGATTTACAAATTCTGGTACATTTAACAGAAAAAAAAATCACATTATTATGCAAAAGAAAATCCTGATTTAATTAGAGAAACCAGACCACATAGATATTCTTTGAACCATCTTTGAACGTCTGGGCTGGCATTCTTGACAATAAAATTTTAGGTTCTGTAGTTACCTGTATTGAACTCTACCATGATACAAAGAATACAAGGTATGATATTGCGCAGGTTGGTCACTACGTCACAGGTGATAAACGGCACCATTGGTCGGCAAGCTCTGCGCGCCAATTTCAAATTGTCAAACAGATTGTGTCATCTGTGAAATTTGATTGTGTCAAAATGTGAAAATAATTTTTCAAATGTCAAGCTCGATGATTTGACATAACTTTTGGGGTTATGTCCTAATTCTTCCCTATTTTAGGTCTTTTTTTATTAGTGGCAATTGAACAATATGGATATTTTTTTGTATGGCGTATGACGTCACAGGTGGTATGCGCAAACTTAACGAAATTGGGGCCGCTATCGATCATACCTTGTTTTCTTTGTACCATAGAACTCTACTACACAATTTTTGTGCATCCAGATTTGACACTTAATAGAATAAACAAAAAATAACTTACCGACATATAAAGTGTCAATTGGATTTCCAAGGCAGACTTGATCTTCGGCGAATTTTAAAAAATATATTTTTTAGTGAATTTACATAATAATGAATAAAAATTAGATACCACCGTATAATTTTTTTTTCGCTCTATCTAACAGTATAAAAATTCAAAATTGCGGCCATATGAAAACAAAAGATTGACTGTTGTTGTGCGAAATCTAGAAGGCTTAGAAATTTTCTGAAAACTCTTTCTTACGTTGCAATAGATACAATAGTTCTGGAGATATTGTCTTTTAAAATAAACGTATTGTTTTCATTTTTTGACATAAATCCGAAACTAATCAAGATACCGGGGTTTTCTTCATAGATGATTCTCAAACATCTAATTACGCAACTTTTGTCCCATTTAACCGAATTTGTATCTCTCGTAGTTTCTGAGATGCCAATGTTGAGCATCGAAATTGTCACCACCCCGTACACTTAAAACTTTTAATTTAAATGTCTACTTGATCAAAAAGAGTACCCAAGTAGCATCTATCTGACTTCGAACTAAATCTGACCTGAAGCGACGTCAGACTTTGTGCAAATTTAGGTCGGGTGCTCGTGATACGACCTGTGACGTCGCTTTCCTATTAAAAGCGACGTCGTTGGATCCGAGTCGGTAAATCCAACGATCTGTCGACGTACAAAAAACAACGTACCATTTTTATTAGTTTCCCAACGTCGTTCCCACGTTGGCTTGCACGACGTACATATTACAGTGTGACCCACTCAAGACCGGGCACCCTCCATAAAATCTGTGTTTATAGTCCGATTTTGATGATTTTTTTTCAAATATAAAGTTTCAAAAAATGTACTTTAGGGCTCAATGTCATGTTATTTCACAAAAAACAAGGCCTACTTAATAAAGTTTTTGTGGTGAAAAATTTGCAAAATCATATTAGCGATTTTTTTTCAAAAAATTTGAGTACACCCCTACATTCGGCATCCCCAAAACAGTTCTGTACAAATTTCGTTTAAAAATATTAATTATTAATAATTCTGCAGTTAAATTAAATAATTCCCTATTTTTGCCAATTTAACGATGAGTTATCACGTAACCCTTGAAAAAAACAATCCACAACAATGGGTTTTATTAGCTGTCAATTCTTGCAGCGTAGAATTGAATATTAATTTAATAGCACGCAGAAAAGTGTTGTATCAAGAAATATTATTTGCATTATGGAACAATTAAATATTAGGGATAAAATTGAAATTATTCGTTTAGTGGGTGATAACTATCTTCAAGCAGGAGAAGCTGCCAGAGAATTTAACAACAGACATCCCGACAGACCTGCAGTAAGTAGAAGCACGGTTCAACGAATAAATAGAGTTTTTAATGAAACTGGTTGTGTGTCAAAATACTTACTAAAAAACAGAAGGCCGGAACATCGAATAAATAGGCGGAATGAGGAAATATTAGAATATTTTCGTAACAATCCTCGTGCAAGCATTAGAGGCGCCAGTGTTGATTTGGATATACCAAGGGAAAATATTAGGAGATGTTTGCGAACTAATAAAGTTAAACCCTTTAAACCAAAGATTTTACACACTTTGGAAAACGGAGATGATGTTAGACGATTAGAATTCTGCTTATGGGCTCAAGCAGAGTATTTAAATAATAGAAATTTCTTAAAAGAAATTTTATTTAGTGATGAGGCAACATTTAGTACAAACGGAGTAGTATCCTCTCAAAATTCGCGATTCTGGGCAGTCGAAAACCCTGAATGGGTGATCAATACAAGAAGACAGTATTCTCAGAAATTAAATGTGTGGTGTGGCATACTTGATGATAGAATCATTGGTCCATATTTTTTTGAGAGAAATTTGAATAGTCCAACGTTTTTGAATTTTCTGATTAATGACTTTTGGGATGCAATACATAATTTACCATGCCAAACCCGTTTGAATTTAAAATTTCAATTGGACGGATCACCTGTGCATAACGCGGCAGTTGTCAGGGAATGGTTAAATGAAAATTTTGAAAATAAGTGGATAGGTCGAAATAGCCCGCTAATTGAGTGGCCACCGAGATCCCCGGACCTAACACCCCTTGATTTCTTTTTTTGGGGTTTCTTAAAGCAACAAGTTTACAAGTCTAGACCTCAATCTGTAGATGAATTACGTATTAGAATTACAGAGGCTTCTGCAAATATTACACCACAGCAGCTTAAGAATGTAACTGTTAATCTAAGAAAAAGATGCGACAAATGTATTGAACTGAATGGAGGGCTGGTAGAAGCAACTAGAATTATTTGAATATGTTTAACTTATTATTCGGTTATTGTGTTGCTTGTAGTATTTTTATCATTGTTTGTAATAAAACTCGTTGTCGTGGATGTTTTTTTCAAGGGTTACGTGATAACTCATCGTTAAATTGGCAAAAATAGGGAATTATTTAATTTAACTGCAAAATTATTAATAATTAATAATTTTAAACGAAATTTGGTACAGAACTGTTTTGGGGGATGCCGAATGTAGGGGTGTACTCAAATTTTTTGAAAAAAAATCGCTAATATGATTTTGCAAATTTTTCACCACAAAAACTTTATTAAGTAGGCCTTGTTTTTTGTGAAATAACATGACATTGAGCCCTAAAGTACATTTTTTGAAACTTTATATTTGAAAAAAAATCATCAAAATCGGACTATAAACACAGATTTTATGGAGGGTGCCCGGTCGTGAGTGGGTCACACTGTATACTTGAACTAGCCCGACGTCTACCCGTTGTCCGAATAGGATACGTCTCACTGATAATCCCTAAACTAACGTCCAATTATATTTTGTTGTATTTTATGTTCATATTTTGTAACCTAATTTACGTATCTCTATTTATGTCCGTAAATACAACCCATTAAGTAGCATTTGCGACCTAATGAACATCATGAACATAACCTAATAAAAAGTATTTGTAAACAAACTTAAATTTTTTATTATGCCTAAAAAAACACTAAAAAGGCATTTAGACATTCATCTACATTTTACAGAAAGAGGTCGAGGCTTTTGCAAAATAATAATAGTAGTAGTGATGTCTTGCCTCCACCCGTAAATGCTTTTTATCCGGAAGAGATGCTGCATTACACTGGTGCATCTTAATTTCATTTTTTAGCTTAGGATACCAGCAGACCCCATCCTCCTCCGACATGTGAGGTTAGGCTTAAAAAGTGGCTGCCCATTTTTTTAACGAAAAACAAAAACTAAAATATAGTTGCACAAATCCACAAATCACTGATACGCAAAACGCAAAGTGAGGTTACGTGGCGTACGTTGGAATTATATGCGTCATAATACGATTGCCGGTCGTCCGGTTTGATGACTTCGGTCGTGTGAGACGACTAATGTTGGAGACCCGGTCGGAATTGGTATATTGGTAGTTCATATTAAGTCAGACACAGAAATCCGCCATTCTTAACACGTATCCGATTGTCGGCCATTTTAAAATCGTTTTTTGTTTTTAAAATTTATATTCACATTTCGATTTCTAGTAGAATAATATTGATAAGGTTGAGTTTGGGGGGAACCACAGTACAATTTTATGATTAAACCAGCTAGAAAATTAAAAAAATATTTTGCGATTTACTTTTTTATAGATATTTTTATTTCATAAATCTACCTGATTTTGAAGGCGCTCGTTGTTTTCCGGAGTATTTTAATCAGATATATCAAGAAAAGGACTTCCGTTGACAAAACTGATGTCTGGATTAATGATTCAGAATTATTATAATATGAAATTAAATAGGCACTTATAGTTAAGGAGTGATTATGAATCCGAGGAGTAATATTCGAGGAGTGATTATGAATCCATTTGTAATTAGGTAGTTTGGTTAGGTTTTTATGTATTCTTGGTAGCGAATATGAAACCAAACGTAACGTAAGTGCTTAGCGACGAATTTTAAGTGACTAAAATCCAACGTAATATGACGTTGGTAATGGGTAGAATTACATTCCCTATTAGGTCAGATACCGACGTCGAGGCGACCCGAATCTGTATTCCCCATTTAGGTGCAAATAAGGGTCGTCAGGCGGTCGAAGCGACGTTGGTACCCGACGTCGGGTTTATTGAACATGACGTATACCCGACGTTAGATAACGTCCAAATGCTACTTGGGTAATACAACTAAAAAATGTATCCAGAAGATTTTTTTTAATTTACCTGATAAATGTATTATCTCATGCTTTGTTTCTTCTACTAACACGTACAGCCATTCACAGAGATTCGCAGCAATCATGTGCATTAGGCCAAATCTTCCTATCACTTTATGTCTATTTACATCTACATCCTAAAACAAGAAATAATTACTAACAGGTAGTTTTTCACCATTGGTGAATAAAAATACTAAGGAAGGAAAAGTAAAAACACGCTATTTTCATATTGGTTCATATATTTCAGTTTCGATTGATATAGCAAAAAGTACAATAAGAAATAGTCTGAATTTTGAGAGACAGGCAGGAAAACTGACACCTCATTTTACTCTTTATTCTTTTAATGCCGCTTGCTGCCAGTTGGTCTTAAGAAAGTAATTTATTTTTTTATTGAGTAAAAATGATTTTTAAATGGTGTAATCTAAAATTCGAAAATAAACATTTTTTTTGGAAATAGATTTGTGTGCCTGGAAGCGTTCCATGCCTTTTTTGGGGAAGTTTGAAAAAAACAACCGCCATTTAGGTCTTGATTTAATAAAAGATAGAAAATATCTAATAGACAATCTAAAAAATAGCTCTATCTCCGTTAATATTTACTATACAGTATCTCGGATTGTCTTTACAAGAGGAAAAACTTTTTATTATTGACATTTTGAAAGAAATGCATTCCTCATAAAATTTTTTGCTTGTTTTAAAATGGTTTAATCCCGCTTAAACTTTTCCAAATTTCCATACCGAGTTAGGTTTAATTTTCTAGAAAATTAAAACTAACCTATAACAAAAAACGCGTTTCCTAACCAAAGACGCGTTTCTATGGTAATATAATCCTCCACTATAGTGAGATGTTTGGACTGCATCACAATGTTTCCAAGACCAAACTATTGGTCTTTTCTAAGACTCCAATAAATGCACACCTGCTTGTCAAGGGACAAACAATCGAACAAGTGACCTCAATAAAGTTTAGGAGCTAACATCAATAGTCAGTGCGACCCGAAAAAAGAAATATTTTCAAGAATTGAGAAAGCGAGAAAAATCTTCGTGAGTATGAATTCATTTTTTACAAGACGAGACCTCAGAGTGGAACTCAAAGCTCGAATGGCCAGATGCTACGTCTTTTCTGTGTTACTCTATGGATATGAGAGCTAGACACTGGATTCACAGACTGAAAAGGGAATAGAAGCCTTCGAAATGTATGTGTACAGACGGATGCTGCGAATCCCATGGGTACAAAGGATCACCAACAATGAAGTATTCCAGCGCATGCAGAAACAAAACTAGAAACAAAAGAGATACTGAATACCATCAAGGAAAGAAAAATGCAATACCTGGGTCATGTCATGAGAGGTGATAGATAAAAATACTGCGCCTCATAATAGAGGGCAAAGTGCAAAGGAAAAGATCAGTAGGAAGACACCAGAACTCATGGCTAAAAGATTTAAGGAGATGGTTTGAACGCTCGTCTGCGGAAAACTTCCGGGCTGCAGTTTCCAGAGCCACAATTGCCATTTGGATCGCCAACCTTCGGCAGAAGAGGGCGTGACAAGAAGAAGATGGTAATATAATTTCTTTTTCATTCTTTGATAGATTATTATCTATGATTATTATTGACAGAATTTTAATTAACTTCATATTTTGTGCTGTTTTAAAATGTTAAAGTAAAGTAAAGATTTCAGGTCCGCTCCCTTTTTGCTGCCAGGGCAATCGGGACGGGGCCTACTTTGTTTACGCGGAATCCGAACCGCGGTTCTCGGCCATATCATGGTCAATGTCCTACCGACTTGGCAAGTATCTAAATCGACTCTTACTCACGAGATATGCGATCTCATCCGGCCTCGAACCGGCGTGAATGAGCAGTGTGTGTCAATAGATTTTGCACTTATGCCTTTTTTTGGACAACAGCACGATACAGAGTTTCGAACCGGTCACCCGTCCATCTACTAGTATCGCCTAGTGGATGGACGATGTTAAAAATGGACGATTCCAAATGTTAAAGAAGTACAAAGTTTATCTAGTTCGGTGCTACGGAAAGGGCGATAATGTTTATCAGAAAATGGTGAAACCTAAAAAATATGCCGTTAATGAAATTTATTAACGATTTAAAAAAAATTATAATGAACTATCAAAGAATGAAATCGAAATTAAATTGCCATAGAAACACCTTTCGTTTTTGGGACGTCAACTACATTTTCAAGTTTTTTTTAATTTTTTCTAAAACGGTATGGAAATTTGGAAAAGTTTAAACGGGATTAACCATTTTAGAACAAGCACAAATTTTTATGAAGAATCCATTTTCTGAAAATGTCAATAACAAAAAAGTTTTACCTCTTGTATATAAAGACAATCCAGGGACATACTGTAGAAGAAAAATGATAAGAGAAAAAGAATTTAAAATTTAATTCTCTACAAAAACCGTCTCTTTAGTTTTTTCGAAAAAAAATATACACACGTAGATTATGTGAAAAACCCCAAAAAAATACAAGATAGCGGCCATTTTTTTCAACCCGAATGGGACTTTTGTTAGGTTAAATATATCATTATCTAGACATTCCCGCTGAGATTGGTTGGTTCATAGACTTAAAATAAAATATAGACTACACTATTTACATCTCAACGCGGACAAACAACCTTTTTTGTACACATGTTTACTTCTGGGTACAGTCGACCGAGCCTTCCTCATCCAGCCTATGTTGTCACGTCTTTAATATTATCAATGTTTTTTTTCTTGTTATACACATATATTGAGATATTAATACTACAGTTTAATAAAGTAGGTTTTAATATTCCATAGATGTATTAAATAGTCCTTATACTACTAAATTATAAGTCGGATACTGTTTAATAAGGATAAGTTCTTTACAATATGACAACACCGATTAGAGGCGAGGGAGCCTATTCATTCATTTATTACCTTGTACAGTGCCTTCTATTAAAAGATCAGCCTCCGGGCGAGATTTATGACGTCACGCTAGTTAGATATAACGGATTAATAAATATGTTGTAGAATACATGGAAAACATAATTATTCCTCAGATTTTTGGTTTGTATTTTAAAAATGATATAGTTTAAATGAAATATACATAATATACAGTTAATAACTACAACATATATACCTATTTATAGTAATAAATACTTTGGCAAATAAACTATGAACCATACAAATGCAGCAAATGTTTTACAATGTACAAATAATGTATAGGTACATAAGATAATGGGTAAAATGTAAATATATTTTAAATTTTGGGGTTTGAAAATCGATCTAATTTAACAAAAAACATTTAATATCTACTAATAGTGATGTATTATTTGCATTCACAAAATTTATATGTATATTTTGCAAGTATCAATGTTCGAAAAATTATATTTACAAATAATACAATATTATCTAAAAAAAGGCGTCAGCGATGGCTATGAAATGAAGATCGCTGGCATTTTATATGTTAAATTATTCTAAAATTTTTGATTTTCTTGGGATTTTTAGGTTCGGGAAAAACGCTGATTAAGTTTTCATTATTTTTATTTGGTTTAAAAAAAACGTTTCGGCTAACTATAGCCTTCACAGTGTTGTGTCATATGAGAAAAATAGTGTCGAATATAATCCAAAAAATACATATACAATATAATTCACACCTCATAATGTTTACTGCAATTAATAAACTAATATAAACTTATCAAAAGATGACCACATATTTTTTTAAAATTATTATTCTTAACACTAAAATTATCTACATTGACTATGGAGTACGCAGTAAACATTATGTGCGTGGTGTGAATATTTTATATGCAATTTTTGGATTATATTCGACACTATTTTTTCATATGACACAACACTGATGGAGGCTATAATGTTAGCCGAACCGTTTTTTTTTAAAACCAAATAAAATAATGAAAAACCAAATGAAAAATCAATCAGCGTTTTCCCGAACCTAAATTCCAAGAAAATCAAAAAAAATTAGAATATTTAGAATCAAGGTTCAAGAATATCAAATTTTCCAAGATTGTAAAATTCTAGTTAATTATTTTATGTGTACAGTTATTTAGGGAATGTCATCGATGTTCATTTCCAAGCCAACTAGACGCCGATTTTTTTCGATGATACGGTATAATTCTTACGTAAAATGTAAATAACATTAGACCAATTAAAACAAAGAAATATGAATTTCTTAGTTTTTTTAGTAACACCTTTATTCTTAAAACTTAATTTTGTATTATGCAAATATACCAATTTTATTGTTATTTTATTCATATTGTATTCAGCCATCACTTAAATATTTGATATTATAAATAATCAATACTATTCATTAAAAATTACTGAACAAATATATGTTATGCTTAACATACATTATACCGTATGATCGAATAAAAACGGCGTCCAGTTGGCTTGGAAATGACGATCGATGACATTTCCCATATAATTTTACATATAAAATGACAGCGATCTTCATTTCATAGCCATCGCTGACGCCGTTTTTATTCGATCATACGGTATATTATCAAACAAAAACACATTCTTCTTTTAAACTGTATCAGTCTTGTCTTTACAAAAATCTTTTTTAAAATTTGAACTCAAAATAATAATCTTTTTTATGATCTCTAATACACATATTCTTTATTTTTCCCTAGATCATAATACCTACTTACGTGTTTGAATCTATCGAAGCTGAACCAGCAACACTTGGAGTGGAGATTCCACAATATGAATAAAATAAACATAATTGTCCAGTTTTCATTAATACCATCATGGGAGAATATTATTTTTAAATTTATTAAAGATATTTTCAATAAAATTCTCTTGATTTATAACTCGTACCCACTTTTCTTGCTCTTCCGGACACTTTAGGCTGCCTAGTATAATAACTATCCTTAGTAACTATCCTTTCCACCAGGAACACAACAAAGATGAGGCATAGCACCAAAAACACACTCCACTTAAGCTTTATTGGTGAATTGTTAGAGTCTTAAAAACACACACAAAAATCACGATAAGTAAAAAATGTATGGGCACTTTTAGGTTAAATCACTTACACAACGTGTAATTTTTAAAATTTCTATTTTTTTATGCGAAACCGAGAGTGACCATATATCTGGTAGTAGTTTATGTCACTTCAACACCAAAATAATTAGTTTTTTGCACTACAATAATAAATAATACCAAAAATCAAAGAGTTAAAACCAAAAATCAACCGACAAAATATGAAACGGAATCTAACCCAATATCTAAGTATGTACAGCTGATGAAGTAAACAAAAGTCCGCCCGCAGGCTGATCTTTTAATAGAAGGCACTGCCTTGTAGTACGTGTCGCACGTGTGCGGTAAAGCTTTGTTGCCGCTATCTCCCCGGCTGTATTAACGCATTTTCTTAGCTTGTAGTCCTTAAGTGTTTATTTTATTGACTTTTTCTGTTCAAAAACTATCAAATATGGTTCGCCAGTGCCAAATTTGCAAGAAATTTGACTTAAATAATCCATTTAAGTCTTGAAACGACTTTGGACCGGTAGGCAACTCTCAATTTACCCATTGGCAGTCAGTGGCGTTGTTGTAGAAAGGCGCTTATTTAGATAATATTTTAGTAAAATGTAAAAAATCTGAATTTTTTCTTTTATATTACATTATTTACTTACTTACATTGTAACAAAATCATAATTATAACCCTGTTAATAATTAATAATGTTTTTATTAAAAATATATTCCGGTTTATTCTAAAATTATCTTCAGAATCTAAAATAACGTACAAGAATTTTAAAATGATATTACATTATGAAACAATATTTTTTAATATACCGGGTCGTCTCAAAAGTGGCTCAACCCTATAACTTTTTTTTTTTATTTTTTCAGATAAAGAAACAGATTTGTATGTTAGTAGGTATATGACATAAATTAGGATTTATTGACGTATTCAATTGTTTTTGGTCTCTTCCTGTTTCACCGAAATGATTACATCTTTTGATTTTTAAAGGCACCCTCGGTATATTGCTACTTTATTCGATAAAAAATGACACTCTGAATAGAATGACATATCATATGTCAACTTTTGACATTGTCTCTTAAAAACATATCCTATTTTAAATTTCAATCCAGTTTTTTTCAATCCACTAAGTTTTAATCAAGGAGCCTTGGAAAAATAGTTTTGATCGTCTAATAGGTTTCGTGTCTTGTCCAGGGTTCGGAAGTAGTTAATTAAGACGTAATTTACCTGATTAACTACGTGTAGTTTTTCTTCAAAAACTACGTCTTTTCCCGTTCATTAGAGAACAACGGCATACGGTCGAGTCGGCTTACAAACACGTAAACGTTTACGTACGCATGCGCATTTCTTATATTTTTTATTTTTTATACACGTAAAAGATTCTTTACGTCTACGTATACGTGCCAGCAGCAGCTGACTCGACCGTATGCCGTTGTTCTCTATTAACTACATGAAAACTACGTTAATAAACTATGTATTAATATTATGAATAATTTTGCTTTGTATGAGGGGTTTAAATAATATGATGTGTGAATATTATATTTAAAGCCATATTTCTTCTGTTTTCTTAAACACATTGTGTTTTCTAAAGCTTCAACTTATTATAATCTCACCTCAAACCTTGGATATTTGAAAGTTACATACATAGGTTACATAAACTACACCCTCTACATAAACTACATTAACTACATGTAATGTAGTTTATGTAGTTGTTAAAAGTAACATGTAGTTTTCCGAACCCTGAGTCTTGTCTAGGCCGGTTAAAAGATGTACAACTCGTATTTTTAATCATACATATGTCAATTTTTTCAAATGAAACAAGGGTGACTCATTAGCATATTTGGAAAAAGCATTTTTTTATGAATATATTGATACCACACACTTGGTATTTCGAGTCAAATTGTCGTTATGAACCGCGTGTTACAATTACAATTAAACCATATGCGAAAATGTCAAAAGTTGACATATGATATGTCATTCTATTCAGAGTGTCATTTTCTATCGAATAAAGTAGAAACATACCGAGGGTGCCGTTTAAAAATTAAAAGTTATAGTCATTTCCGGTGAAACAGGAAGTGACCAAAAACAATTGAATGCGTCAATCAATCCTAATTTATTTCATATACTAACATACTAAATCTTGTTTTTTTATTTGAAAATATAAAAAAATTATGAGGGATGAGCCACTTTTGAGACGCACCCGGTATAATAAAGACAGTACCGAGTTAAATAAATGTAGTTTTTGTTTTATCCACTTCCTATCACCTTCCTTGCTTTAATGGAACAGATTTGTGTTTTCTCTAATTTACATAATAAGACATCACTTAACCAGAAAAAAAATTACAACAATCATATTTTTTTTTCTCTCCCTGTCGCCGATTCTATTATATCTGTGGAATAGATCCTGTTTTGATTAATATTAGGGGTTGTAAATGTTTGACTAAAATTAATAATTTATTATTAATTTCAAAAATTACCTAATTTCGATTATAAAATTTCTTCTATAACGTGTATTTTATTATTTTTATCCTTTTTGGACTCTAAATTGTTTTTTCTAAACTTTTATTTAAAAAACCTGTCCTAAATCTTAATAAAATATAAAAAAGTTTAAATACGATATATTTTTAATTTAATTATAGCTTCATTAAAATAAAAAAATTACCCGGCTATGATACGGAGAGTTCAGATGTGCTTTTGAAAAAAGAAAGACAGTGTTGTGTTTCTCGGCAGAGTCGTCAGGGAACGACCGTTACGACAGAGACAACCTATCTATCGCTCGTGTCGCACTCGTTATAACCTAAAACAATAACATAACAATAACAAGACAGTGTCTGACCGCATGTTCCAGCTATTTATGAATGAAATGCTCAGTCTATATTTTATTTTAAGTCTATGGGTTGGTTACTATTTTTTCCACCTTTACATACATATAACACTCGACTACTTTTACTGTGCTACTAGGGATTAGTAACGGCGTCGTTTTTAATGTTATACCGTGGTCTCTAAATTTTAATTAGTATACAGTTGTTAACACTTGACTATTTTTGGGTGAATTCCCTGGGTGATACTCCTTCCTTATTATTTTTATGCAATGGTTGTACACAATCCGTCAAAATATACCTACCCCGTGATTCAAGAAAATAAATTGTATTTGCAGCATTGTCAACACCATCCTTGTAGCCGGTGTTATAGCTTGGAGAGCTGTATATGAGCATTCAGGGATATTTTTAAGTTCGAAATATCGTCCAAATTCCAGACCTGAGTAAACCATGCTACCAATTCCAAATGCTGTAAAAGAAAATATTTTTAAGAAAAAGAGATTTTTATTCAACTAGCAATATTTCATTACTCCGCTATTCAAATTTTTCGAAATATAAATTTATGTTTACTTCATAGTTCCAAAGAGCACAAGCTCCTTACTATATACTTTAAGAGCAGGTACGTAAAGAGCCATTCTTTTTAGGAATAAATTTTCTTTAGAAAAACGATTTACAAGCTACTTATCAATTTCAGGATGTATGGTCTAACTAAATAAACTACACACGTGTATAAATATATCTGAAAACACGTAATAAAGTTTAAAAAAGTAAAGTTTAAAAAAAAATAAAAAGTCTGTATTACAATATTCATATTTTTTTGATATATTATTTTTTATGATATTTATTTACTTTAAAAAATTTGAAAAAATGATCTTATTCATTAGTGTTGAAAGTTAAATACAAATTAAAATAACATACACTCAGATGCAAAAAAACGCAACAGAAATTTTATCTCTAGTCTTATTTATAGTGCTATATTTTTTCTACCTTTAGTCCCATTTTGATGATTTTTTTTAGCAAACTGCACATATAAATATATTAACTTTAATTCATAAACTTAGATTTTTATAAACTTTAGTATTTCGCTTATTATACAGGGTCATTTGAAGGGTTGTTTTTTACCTCGACTTTCAAACACCCTATGCAATAATTTCGTGAGTAACTTTTCCTAAAACATAATTTTTCGATTAAAATCAAGTCTTCTGGGCATTTTATTTTTTGACTCATGTCGGCATGTGCTGACTTGAGTTGGTTAATTTTTGAGAGCGAAATGAACTTGCCACCAATAATTTGCAATTTTTTCAACTCTTATTACTTTATGATGATATTTTTCAATATCACTAGGTGGCTTTGGTGACTATTGTCAAAATGTCATATTGACACTGATTAGAAGTCTACAGTATTGGCCATAATGGTTGGAACTTTTATATTTGTTAAATTTTTTCTACAAATTCAATATTCCTTATTCTCATATACAAATAATCATAAATCTAAGGAAACATAAACAAAATAAGATGTTAGTATTCAAGTCTTATCTTTGTATACAATATTATCAGTAATTTTTTTTTTGGGGGGCTGGACAAAAAACTTGGAACTATATTCAAATTGTCAAAAGGTATTCTAGATAATGATAGTTTCTAACAAGCCAGCGTCTGTGTTACACAGTTTTACAATAATTGAACTATTATTATCAGTATGGCAAAAGGAAAAGCGTATTCTAGTGATATTCGTCAGCAAATTCTAGATTTTTACAACCAAGGTATCAGAGTGTAATTTCTGAAAGACTTAAAGTTCCAAAAAACACGGTGTCATGTATTATTAAAAAATATAAAGTGTATGGTCACGTAATTCCGGGAAAAAGCATTGGAAGACCTAGAGCTACAAATGCCCGCATGGATAAAAGAATTTCAACTGTGTCGCATAATGATCCTTTTTTATCTTCTTGGAAAATTTTACAAAAAATAAGAGAAACTGAACCTTGCAATATTTCGGCAAGAACGATAAGGAGACGATTACTGGGTATTGGACTCAAAAGCTGCAGACCCGCCAAAAAACCATTACTAAGAAAAAAAACATCAAGTTACGGTTACAATTTGCCGTAGACCACATCCATTGGTGCAAGAATGGAAAAAGGTGTTATTCAGTGACGAGTCCAAATATAATCTGTTTTCTAGTGATGGTATTGTACATGTTAGGCGACCAAAGGGCAAAAGACTAAAATACGTTAGACCGACAGTGAAGCATGGAGGTGGTAACGTAATGGTGTGGGGCTGCTTTTCTTGGTATGGCGTGGGGCCTCTTCATCGAGTGGTAGGAAAAATGGACAGGTTCATGTACAGAAACATCCTTCGTGACGTAATGGAGCCATACTCGTTTGAAAGTATGCCCGTTAATTACATTTTTCAACATGATAACGATCCGAAGCACGCTTCAAAGCTTGTAAAGGAATGGTTTGACACGGAAAAGATCGCAGTATTAAAGTGGCCAGCACAAAGTCCCGATTTAAATCCGATTAAAAATTTATGGGAACATTTAGACCGCAAAGTTCGTGAATTGGGACCAATCAAAATTGCCAATGAGATGTTTGAAAAACTTACTCAAACCTGGAATACCATTGACAGACCAACAATTGAAAATCTAATAGAATCAATGCCAAGAAGAATGCAAGCCGTCCTTAACGCCAAAGGTTATCACACTAAATATTAATTTATTAAATTATGTTAAGAAGATTTATTTTGTTTTTCGTTTTTAATAAATGATATGCTTTTGTTCCAACTATTTTGTCCAGCCTATTTTTTTATTTTAAACCCAAAACCCAAACACCGCCGACATTTGATATAAATTTTACTTTATTTTATTAGGTTTGCATTAAGCTATACATTATTTAATAAAAATCTTAAAATGTATAGTATGTAATAAATATATTACAAAATATTAAAAAGTTCCAACCATTATGGCCAATACTGTATATTAAAATTTAAAAACCGTTCAAAAGTAACGATACAGGCTTGGTCTTAATAAATTTTGTTACTATAATAACTAAGTGTGCAAACAAACAAAAAAACTTTAATTAAGAAAATACTCTAATACTTTGTATTGACTCCCTATTGGTTGCTATAACTGTCTGTAATGGACCAAGCGAATATTCATAATTTTGGCTCTTTGGCAAGATTAATGACTTTTACACAACCTTCCACATTAAAAGCCATATTTAATCATATGCAACAATAATAATTACCGAAACCACCTCGTCATTATGAAGAATAACATCAAAAAGTAACGATAATTTAAAAAATTGCAAAATTTTTGCTGCAAGTTCATTTTCCCCTTACAAATTAACGAAAGCATGTGTTCCCCTGAGTTAAAAAATAAAGTATTCAGGAGCCATGGATTTGATAGAACACAGGGTGTTTTAAAGATAGAGTAAAAAACAACTCTTCGATTAACCCTGTATAAGTCAAATACTAAAGTTTATGATAAACTGAGTTTACCGCATTAAAGTTAATATATTTATATAGTTTGCTAAAAAATCAAGGAAATAGAGCTAAAAATAAAAAAAATATAAGAGAGGTTTTAAACTTGACCAAAAATTTTTTCGTTACGTTTTTTTGCAGAACGTAGTTTCGTAGGAAAAACGTAACCTGACTCTACTAACTGGATTCCTCTCAGCCAATCGAACAAAAAAGGCAGGCTTTCGAAAAGGTTTTAGTACCATTGATCATCTACAAACAATTAAAAACAGTCATTGAAAAAACAACTGAGTACAATATACCGCTACCTTTGGCCTTTGTAGACTACCAAAAAATCTTTGACAGCATCGAAACCTGGTCATTTCTAGCTGCAATGGAGGACGCGAGAATCGATTCCAGATATCATTCCATTATTAAAAATATCTATGATAGTGCAACCTTCCATGATAAATTAGATGCTGACCTCAAAGCAGAAAAAATCCCACTCGGCAAAGGCGTGAGATAAGGAGATACGATCTCTCCCAAGTTATTTACACTGGCACTGGAAAATGCCTTCAAGAAATTAGAATGGGAAAATAGAACATCGATGAGGTACACCTTAATCATCTTATGTTCGCAGACGAGATTGTCTTGCTGAGCACCGCCATTCAAGAACTGAACACCATGCTAAAGGGGAGCTAAATGACCAATCCGAGAAAATTGGCCTTAAAATAAACTTGAAGAAGACCAAGACCAACAATAGCCATAACATTACCGTAGACCACGTTGTTATTGAAAACGTAGACCATTATACATATTTAGGTCATAAAATCAAGCCAAAATACGGAGATCAAACGCAAGATCCATTTGGCATGGGTAGCATTTGGAAATATGTGCGATATTTTCAAGGATAAAAAGATGCCCATCAACCTAAAGAAAAATGCTTACGACAGCTGCATCCTACCTGTGCTTACGTATGGCTTAGAGACTGGAAATTATCCGAAAAACAGCAGAACAACTGCGAGTTGCACAAAGAGCCATGGAAAGAATCATGTTAGGAGTCACCATGAAGGAAAAAATACGAAACACCCACATACGTCAAAAAACAAAACTAATAGATGTTGTTAAAAGAGTGGCAATGGATCGGACATGTGGTATAGTCTGTGAAACGAATAACTTTGAATTTGACAGTTCCCACGGGCTTTTCTAGTGTTAATTTTATTAGGTTAGCAACTTGCGGCCATGCTGTTGCAATGCCGTTTCTAATAGAATAGACAAGGAGGGAGATTAATGACGTCACGCTAGTTAGATACTACAGATTAATAAATATGTTGTAGAATACATGGAAAAGATAATTATTCCTCGTATTTTTGGTTTGTATTTTAAAAATAATATAGTTTACATGAAATATACATAATATAGAGTTAATAAATACAATATATATATATATATATATATATATATATATATATATATATATATATATATATATATATATATATATATATATATATATATATATATACCTATTTATGGTAATAAATACTTTGACAAATAAAACTATGAACCATACAAATGCAGCAAATATTTTACAATATACAAATAATGAATAGGTACATAAGATAATGGGTAAAATGTTAAATATATTTTAAATTTTGGGGTTTGAAAATCGATCTAATTTAACAAAAAATATTCCATATCTACTAATATGCAAATATAATTTTTCGAACATTGATACTTGCAAAATATACATATAAATTTTGTGAATGCAAATAATAAATCACTATTAGTAGATATTGAATGTTTTTTTGTTAAATTAGATCGATTTTCAAACACCAAAATTTAAAATATATTTTACATTTTACCCATTATCTTATATACCTATTGTAAAACATTTGCTGCATTGGTATGGTTCATTGTTTATTTGCCAAAGTATTTATTACTATAAATAGGTATATATTATATTGTTTTTATTAACTGTATATTATGTATATTTCATGTAAACTATAACATTTTTAAA